TGCTACTCTAAAGTAAAGGCATTCCTGTGGTTGTGCTTTTGATGCACTAGCTATTTCCTTTTCCTCAACATTTTATTCAAAAGGGTGGTTACTATTAAAAATGTGGTGACTCAGGCTTGCATATTTTCTAAACATTTTTTAGGTGAATATAATGACTGTTTTATGTGTATATGTATATGTGTGTGTATTTGAAATTTATAGTTTATAATATCTTATAATATATATTGTGATTTTGTAATATATTATGGTTATAAGAGAGAATGATAATTTGAGAAATATAATATAATGGCTTTTCAACATTTAAAGGCTCTAATGATGAGATTGGTGAGGGAACTATTATATGTGCTTTCAGTTGCATCTTACAATGGGAAAATTTGGTAATAGAAACCTTTTTCAGACCCTTATAGCTCAGTGGGTATCTTCCAAATGACTAATGTACAATGTTAAAAAAAATAATGCAGAATAAAAGTTTCTTTCAAAGAGCAAAAGTGACTGATGAGCCTTCATATAATGGAGTAGAGAAAGTCTTTCCATGTGGTTTTAGATAATACTGTGGAGTTTTAGTGTAGATGATGCATGATTCTCTGAAAAGGCTTTTGAATAGGCATGCCTTCCTGACTAAATATAAGCTTGGATTCAGATTTTCTTTGTATATATGTAAAAAACAAACCAACAAAACACCTTGAATAGACCACTTGCAGGAGTTAATATAAGATTCTGGCTTATGTGGTTCCACTAAACTGACACTAAAGACAATCACAGCACCATAAGCCATGTCACTCGTTTGTCTTTTAAAATATAATTTTCTGATTATTTATATTAACATGGCTTGGCTTTAACAATTTGTCTAAAACAGGGATCATGTAGATTAACAATATCTTCTTTTTAAAGAATGAATAAATAATTACATTTGAAAAAATAGTTTCTTTGTATATTTACCACATTTTTAGTATCTATTTATCTATTGAAGTGCATTTAGGTTTTCATTTACCGACTATTTCGAATTCAGTGGTAATGAACCTTGCCAAGCAAATATCTGTGGAACATGGTCTTGAGTCCTTTGGGCATATGTCAATGAGTTTAGCATGTAGTAGACTTACTTTTAGGTTCTTGAGAATCCACACTCATTTTAGGAGTGGTTGCAACAATTTCCTCCATACCTAAGGAGAAAGGAGGACTTCTCTTTCTCCTACAATCTCACCACCATTGTTGTCAGAAGACTTGTTAATCATAGTAGGCATTCTAACTAGAGTGAGATGAAATCCAAAACTTCTATTAATTTGCATTGCACACAAACACACACACACACACACACAGAGAGAGAGAGAGAGAGAGAGAGAGAGAGAGAGAGAGAGAGAGAGGCATACATGTGCCCATACATATGTATGTATGTATGTATGTATGTATGTATGTATGTATGTATGTATATGGGTATGTACCTATCTATCTGTGTACAATAATAGAGAAAAATAGGCTATCAACTTGAGAGTAAGGAGAAGTTAGAGGGGGTATCATTGGGAGGAAGCCGAAGAGAGGAAGGTAAGTAATATAATCTTATCGTTTAAACCTGATTTATAAAGTATCATCATAAATAAACGAGTAAATCAAAAAGAACAAAGTGATTTAGGATCTTCAACAACTTTTTTAAAATGTCTCAGTGATTTATAGTTTAAAAAATGTGCCTTATGGGCCAAAGACAAGGAAATGGGCTGCTTGGCAGTAATATGACATTAGCCAAGGACAAGGAAGTAGGCTTCAGGCAGGAATCTGACATTAGGCTAGAACAAAGAAGTAATTTCGGGTAGGAATCTAAATCTTAGGCTACAACAAAGAAGTAATTTCAGGCAGAAATCTAAATATTAGTCTAGAACAAAGAAGCAATTTCAGACAGGAATCTAAATTTTAGGCTAGAACAAGGAAGTAGGCTTCAGACATGAAAATGACCTTGGACTATAACAGGGAAGTAGGCTCAGAAACTTTGGTCATCCTGATAAGCCTTTAGAAACAGTGATCACAAGTGTTCATGTAATTGGGTTTAAAGCCTTGCCTTTTTTTTTTTTTTTACTCTTTGTGTTTATTGTCTTGCTTGTTCCTTGACTATTTGCATCTATTGTATTGCTGGTTCCTCAACCTAGAACTGATCTTAATACATGCATGTAATCAAAATGGTATAAGAACATAAAGGAAGAGGGGGTATATGATAGGGGGTTCTATGGAGGGGAATTGGGGAAAGGGGATGACATCTGTGTTGTAAATAAATTAAAAAAAAAGAAGTTAGAGAAAGTGAGTTTTTAAATGGCATGGACTTTTGAAACTACAAAACCTACACACAGTGACACACCTCCTCCAACAATGTTATACCTTCCTGTCCTTCCTAAACAATTCCACAAACTGAGAATCAAGTATTCAAATTTATTAGCCAATATGGGGGTTATCCTTATTCAAACCACCACAGACCAGGTACCACATAAAGGTAAATAGAATCTATAGCTTGAGAGCAAAGAATTGAATTGTGGGAGATACATTTTCATTTCATCTGAAACCTACGTAGATGAAATTTTTAAAAATGATGTTAATATGTAACAAGTTGTCCAGAATGAATCCTTCAAGATGATCTATTTATGAATTAATCCTTGAATTTATAATATGAAAAAAGTTTAAGAATATAATCATGAAATTTCATGCAATATTTTTTTCAGAATTAAGATTATTATTTCATAGAAATCCTGCTTATTTCTTCTTTTTTCATTAAAATCTTAAAGTAGAAGTAAGGGGGGATGGAAAAAAGAATTTCTAAGATCTCTTGAAAAGAGACAAAAAAAGGGAGTGATATAGAGATAAAGTGGAAGAATTCTAACAGTCTTACACTAAAAATGTGTTGGTAGAGGTATGGATAATTTTGAAAGCCATTCTGGGGAAGTAGACAAAGCAATCTTTTGAGTCCCGTGTATATGAATAATAGTCATTACTGTAATTGAAAAAGACACTGTTTTTAAACTGAATAAGTGGTTAAATGAAGTAAAAGAAACATTCTTCTTGATTCTAAGAAGAAACGAGAAAAAAATACACACAGCAAAGTTATAAAACAGAATCTTAGAGTGGTTTGCATCAATGAGAGATGCTTGTGAGTTGTAAATGGACTGGATTCTTTGGACATAAGATATAAACTCTCCAATCAGGACATGGTAATACTGGCTGCAAATGTGGTTTAGTATTCAATAAGTCTGTTGTAATCTCTTCTGAAGCACACATTAAAATTATAAACAAAGACCCTGAAAAAAAAAAAACTGTGTCTTGGTTCTCTGTATCTTGACTGCTGCTCTCTCCTCAGTCTGTTCCTCTTCCCGGTCTCTCACACATACTTCTCCATCTCTTTAGCCATATGCAGGATTAAAACAATTTTGTCCAAAGAAATTATGTACATTAACAACATAAATTACAGATGAGAAAAAAACTAACTCATTTATTTAACTTTTTAATTCAGACCTTTTGTACTCTGAAACATATAAATTTCTATATCAGCTTTAATGTGATATTAAAATATTTCCAACAACTGCTACATGACAACTAGAATTTTAATGCGTGTTAGACTAAAGACAACAATATATTTTCTTAAATAAAGCAAGACTCTCTACCCTAAACCAAAAATATCATTTGTTTAAATAGTTCTTAGTTTTTTAACTGTAGATATTAAAATTTAAAGGAAAACAAAATGCTAGATATCTGAGTAGAACAATCATGATCATTACAGTTTGTTTAGATAAGATGACTAGTTAATTGCTTGGCTATGAATTGTACATTTACTTTATGAAGTTTTCCATTTGTACACAAAGGTTTGAATAAATCTCCATTATTTCTTTTAGTTTAGTGGTCTCTGGGTAGCGTTGCATTTATAGTGCAGAATAAACATTATTATACTTATCCTGCAATTAACAAACTTTTTGAAGATAGCTTAATGCCATTACATTATGAATTTAGTGTATAGGGTGTATAAGTAATATTACCAAGAATGGAATTATACGGCGTCAAGCTTGAAAACTCCTATTTCAGCTTCTCCATGTTTCAACATATATATCACTTTACATACTTATGCAAAGCATTTCCATTGGTTGTTTCAAATCCTAAATAACTTCAAAAGATTTATACACAGGAAAGGCAAAGGAAAAAAATCAGAAACAAGAAGTTTTCATTTTCTATCTTATAACACTATGCCGTTTCAGCATGTGGCTTTGTTCAGGTTTTATATATGAAAACACACAAAATTTAAGTTGAATACCAGTAGTAATTGCTAGCAAACACAAAATCTGTTGCGCACAGCTGTGTTTAAAAGAATGCTATTGTTTATAATGGATGGTTTTAGATATTCAAATTGTTTTGACAGTTTAATAGGATTGCACTCCTTGAAAAAGTTTACACATTTTTGAAAATAATTATTGATGTAAAGTGAATTCCAATTTTCAAAATAGCGAATCATTTGTAGGCTTATTAAAGCAAAGCCATTAAATAAAAAAAAAAACTCTTTTAAAAACCAGGTGTATAAAATTATACATAATCTCAATAAGCCATTATGGTAATATGCCTTCATTACCTAAACCAACAAGAAATTTCTAAATAAAATAATGAAGCATGTCCAAAATGAAATGAGAGTCTATTTCTTCTAAATAATAAAAAGTACTTGCGAAAGTTCAGAAATGTATGAGAAAAATTGAAATATTCAGTAGACACAGAAACTGAATCATGTTTCCACTATGTTTTGCCTTCAACCTGATTGGACTATTGATAAATTTCATGCAGCTGAATCGAAATGATGTGCACTTAAAGTGAGGACATTGGTGCTTGCAATTTTGGAACTCATTTGGGTACATATATTTTAATTTCCCACTCACATGATGGGGAAGGGGCACAGCGGCTCTAAAGGCATCTCTTCAGATGACTAACTGCTGTTTGATTGTCTGTGGAAAACCAACCTAAAGTAACAATCTTTGTTGATGCTTGCTCAGATCAGGTGGACCAAAACAGCAGGAAGCGCCTCTGACAGATTCCAAGATTCAAGTGTCTTCAATGAGACTTTGAGAATTACAAACATTCAGAGACACCAAGGAGGCCGATATTACTGTAAAGCAGAGAATGGCTTGGGGTCCCCAGCAATAAAGTCAATCCGAGTGGATGTGTACTGTAAGTAGATGTCAGCCAACTATTGTTCTGACTAATTTATTTCTATGCTTAACTATGGTTTTCTGAAAACAAACATCTAAATATCTTTTGTTAAGTTGTGACAGGAAATTTTTATAGGATAGTGATAGTGCTTTTGAGAAATGTCTTTTTTTCTATTGTGCTTCTGCACATGGATGTGTATCTAGAGAGGTCAGAGGTCAACTTCAGATATTTTTTTTTCTGGTTCACACTACAAGTGTGTACTGCCGTACCTGACATTTTCTCATGGGTTCTGAGGAGCCAAATTGGGCCTTGAGCTTGTACAGAAAACTATTTATCAGCTGAGCTATTTCCTAACTTGCTCTAAGACATTTTGAGAAAATAAGTTTTACTTCAGACTCTCATAATTTATGATCTGATGCATATTCAGGTTTATAGTATCACATTAATAATATGGTACATATTACCAGTAACACCAGTAGCCTTTTTGTATTTATTGCATACACACATATACATATACTTTTAAATGTACATGTGACAGCACACATGCACATCTATATCTGAGTGAACGGTATGAAGAAAGGATCTTGCCATAATGTACTCTGACTTGTTTGTTCACTTTTCTTGTGAACAAACATTTTTGATGCACTTTTTTTATGTGAGCGCAATGATCTGCGTTCCCGTGTGAAGTGACCGTCACTGATCCTCAATGCACAGTGCCTTCTGCAGATTGCAGCTTACTGTCTGTCACGTATTCCTTCCTTTTAGAGCATTTAGAGTATTTAGAGTCTTCTGCACTCTTTACTTCTTTGCCCAACAGAGAAATGAAGCGCCTGCATTCAGTTTGGTCTTACTCAGGTTCATCTGGCACTCCTGTTGTTTTCACAAGGAATGGCGCTTATTTTTAAGTCTCTAATATTAGAATGTGTTTTTTTCTCCTCTTAAAGTAACTCAGACATAATAACAATTGAGGAGTTCCTGTTTTCCAGCCTGCTTTCTTTTTATTCCCCTTTCCTGTTCTTTCAACAGTGCAGGTGTTACATAGTTAGGATGAGGCTAGAAATTATCAATGGTCTATTCACAGAGCCTATGCTGGGTTCATTTATTTATGGAGACAATAAGGAAGGAAATGGTGACAGCGCCATCCGTGATTCATCTTCCACAGATAAGTGCTCATTACCCTCTTGTTTATGACACAAGCCTGTGTTCTATTCTGTCAGGATCTCCTAACCCCGGGACATTCACTGACATGATACAGGGAGGATCAACTCATCTGGCACACTTATCTTCTGTGTACCCTGATCTGCCAAACCTGCATGCTTTCCATCTAAGATCAAGCACCAAACCTCCACATATGTTCCATGAAGCTTGAGTATAATTGTAAATTAAACTAAATTTGATTTAAATAAATTTAATACTCTGTGATTTAGTTATTAAACATTATTTAATTCTGTTATTTCCTGATATAGCAGGTCAGAAAGTTTAAGTACAAATCTCTAGTATCTTAAAAAAAAACAATGCAAAAATCTAAAATGTTCTAGAAGTGAATGCATGGTTCTTTTTGATTTGCCTTACTTTGTTTTGGGAGTGCTTGGCAGCTTTATACAAACAAGGTTGGTAGTAAAATGTGACTAGAAACCCCTTGAATAGGAAATTTAAATTTTTAATGTTCTCCTTTTTTACTTTATTTTGTGTGGACAAGCACATCTTGTTCATGAAATTTGTTTGATTAGCATATAGCCTTCAGTCCTGCTGGATGGTTTATGTATCATATAGTGGATTTTTCTAAATGAAATCCTAAAACTTCTGAAGTACAGGAGCAGTCAGTTTTGAATAAGAATTTTTGACTACATTGCTAACATAGGGACTTTAGGTAAAAGCCAGAGTGCTTAGGTTCATATGTTTCCTTTTCCTACATGAATTTTTATAATTTATAGCACCTCCATCACTCTTGATAAATACATGACTAAATTAGCAATAATGTGGAAACTTTCCACACTGTAACAAAGCTCCTGACATAAACAATTTAACTGAGCAGTGGTACTTAACTTAAATCTTCAGAAATTTCAGCTGCTGGTTGGTTGGCCTTTTTTTCCCCTTTGTTTGTTTGTTTGTTTGTTTGTTTTGCTACTTTGGATAACATCATGGTGTCCCTGCGTATAGCAGAGTAGACTCTCCCCCTTAAGACAACAAACATGCAAAAGTTCAGAGTGTAGTGACAATCTTCTACAGAAATACCTCTTACACTCAGAGACTGAACATTTGCTGAACCTCACAGCCAAGTTAATAATAAGCATTGACATCACTTAATATTTAGCATACTACCTACAGTGTACTCAGCCTCTTTGAGTTTAACCAGCATTTAAGACAGCAGAACTCTAATACCTTTAATTTCCTCTACGTGAAGGTTCAAGTGAGAATGGACAACAAAGATTCATATATTTGAATGCTGTATCCATAGTTGGTGGAATTGTTGTAGGAAAGATTAGGAGGCGTGGCCTTTGAAGGGCTGTGTCACCAGGGATGGTCTTTAAGGTTTCAAAAGCATACCAAAGGCTTACTCTCTCATTCTCTGTTTCCAACTTGTAGGGATAGGATATAGCCTTTAAAATACTGCCCTAGTGCCAGGCCTTCTTGATTGCTGACTTGCTCCTGCCAGGACCTTCATGGATACCCATTTGAAAGTGGGAGCATCCCTTAATTCCTAACTAAATGATTTCTTTTATAAGTTTCCTTTGTCACTGTATCTCTTCACACCAATAAAAAAAGTAACTATGACACCATATAGCTTTTATAACCTAAGTTATTGTATAGCTTTAATCTTAAATTATGTAGTCTTTTATCTCCTGACTTAGAGTAATATATAAGTGTGTTTATGTGTTGTAGTAATCCTTTGCTGAAAGTAGCCAAAAGGTTGACGACAACCTTATATAATAAATATCCACCATAAACGTGAGTAAAATGGATATATCGTTCTAATGTCTGCTTGCAGTGTGGTTTACTACTTTGGGTCAACTCAAGTCAGTAAGGTGATTTCTTCCCTTGTAAAACTTTTAAGAATGTCTAGAAAGAATTCTTCATCTCTTCCATGATGCCTTGTTTTCTGTGTGTATGAATCCCTTTGTTAGGAACAGGACAGACATAGACAGTATATCTCAGACAGAGGACTGTCATAGACATATATTATCAAAAGGCTACAGATGGGCTGAAAATATAAGTAGAGAAGTGGAGAAGTAAAGTTTAGACTTGATCTTGGTCAAAGTGCTATGTTTACATTCCTTAGTGAAATATGAACACATTCTGGTCTCTTTGAGGTTATCTTTAATGTGGTCACTAACACAAGAAAAAAGAAGCATCCTGGAACAAGATAGTCATGGAACTCATTCAGAGTGGCCTGCATACTTCATTGCAATCTCCCTCCTAAAGTTTTCCGGTAACACTGCTAGCTGCACACAAAGCCTTCAGTAATAAGCATCTGGGCACAGGCTTTACATTGACGTCATAACAAGTGGATTACCTGATGTTTTCGAAAAGATTTTGCACTCCTCATTGTAAGCTTAAAAAGTAGTAATCATAGTCCATACAAAATAGACCATAGGAAACGTACAAGGTGTTAACAGAAGGTACTAACGAGCTGTATGGGAAGAAATGTGATCAAAATATGCTGCAAGGTTCAACAGTGAAGAATGCTTGCAAAAATACAACACCGGTGCCTGATCTAACAAAGTGTGATGTAAGTATGTAGGGAATGGGAGAGAGTCAGTGTATGGGAGGAAAAGAATTCTTTTCCAGGGAATGTAATTTATAACCCAATGTAAAAGGAGAAAAATAAAACTATAAAAACAGTGGAGAACAGTGCAGCAAAATAAAATGTGAAGATGACGTGTCAGTATAGGACATCTCTAAGCATGTAAAACCCCCAGTCAGTTGTTTCATATACAGTTATTTAGACTTGAAAACGAAACATACATTTTTAATTTATAAAACTTTAGCATCAATATTTAACCTTGTAGATCCTTGGTACTCATCCTGCAGTTTCCAAACTAATTTATCTCAAATCTCCATCAGAAAACATTCTGTAAACTGAAGAGTAGATTTTGTCTTACACTTTTAATAATTGGTTAGGATTGTTGATATTTGATACTTAAAATTAGAATATTGTCCTCACAGATACTTCATAAGCAACACAGGCAATAGCTTAGGAAGTGTCGGCACCACATTCTGATAATTAACAATTTTACTAACTTTTAAAATTAGAGTCATACTACTATCTGTTTGTATGATATATTTGACAAATTGTTTTTAATATTTGAAATAGTATTTTGATATATTATGCAACTCACAGAATAATACCATTAAATTCTAAAGGCAAAAATAAAAAGGAATTTCTTAATTATGGTGTATTCCTAGTGATTTTCATCAACCTAAAGAGAAAAAAGTATATGAATTTATTTAAACTGTGTATAGCAACTAAGTAAAAAGTATAAAAGCAAACCAATTCACACAATACTACATAGTGTGCTACTGTCACAGACAATTGACTTCAAGGAGTAAAAGATTAATATGGCTTCTTAGCATGGAAGAAGTAGTTTAAGAGCCATTGCTTCCAGACATTTCTGCAAGTTTTAGAACAGTTTGAGTTCTGAAATCTCTTTCCACTGGTGTTTATGTAGCACACTGCCTTGTACAATAGAGACATTGCTTTTACTAGGAGGAGAGGGAAGTTCTGTTTCCTAACTAGGATCATGAAGGATAATACCTACCTAAAGGGAAAGAGGAGGACAGTTTAATTCGGGGTTTTAATAAAATAAGCATTTTTTCAATGTTCAGTGTTTCTTGACTGAATTATAAAAGTACTGGTTTTAAGGAACATACACTTGGATTGCCCCATCTTACCCTCACAAAAGTTGAGGGGAATGATAGCCTTTGAAACCATGAAGCTGCTATTTCCATCTGAGACCTTATTAAAAATGTCTTTGGTCTATGCTCCAGAAGACCCTTGTCTATAGGCATCCATGAAA